GAAAAAAACTGTGTTTTGTTCTTCTTAATACATATGCAGAAAGAGGCTGTGTGCAGACTCTAAAGCTGGGGCCGAAATTGTCAACTGGGCATGACACCAAAAGCTAGGATTGGATCCCATCGCTTTTGCGGTTCTATCATAGTTCTATCCCTGAAGAAAGACCAGTTGCAACTTCAAGAGGAAACCGCAAAATAAGTATATTTGGGTGTATACGTCTTCGAGGGTACCTCTTTTTGTGGTTTCAAAAGGACAGCCAAAAGGAAAACCACCTCTCTTTCTGTTTCTTTTGGGGGTCTGAAAAAAAATAAATCCCAGGTTTGTCAAACTTTTCGGCGACGCATGTCGAGCGTGTCCTTCTGAACTTGGATCATGTACAGTTTGAGTTTGGATGGCTCAAACGCGGTTCCCTGCGCTGGAAAACGCTTGCTTTGAAATAGGGAACCCCCAAACAGTCGAGCTCCCGTTAGGAAAGCCCTAAAACAATTCACAATGATTGCGTTTAGTTGACAATGGCGCTTGAAGCAATGAGCAGACATCCATCCAAATCCGACCATGCGTCTTGGCGCAGCAAGAAGCATGGATGCGAAGGATCTGAGGTAACTTGCCCTGGCCTGCCCCTAGATAGGCAAAAGGCGGCAATCCGTGACTTGGATTGGTGGTTTGGAGGTTAGGAACCCACTCCTGCTAATTCCCTCCGTCCGTAAAAGCAAATTTGGACTCGCCCAGCTCCTTGACTCCCTTCCAACCACCAGCTAGCCCTGGAGGTAACCGAGGTAACCTCACCCTGTTGGTTCCACCGCATGCTGGGAGTGTCACCTTGAAAACTGCCGAGTGCGCTCTGGCAAATGGCGAGCTCCTGGCGGAGCCACGCGCTAATCTAAGCAACCAAAGCCCTAACCCAAACGCCCACGGTTTTGGCGTAAAAACTTTGAAGACCTGGTTTGTATGGCAAAGGGGTCTGCCCCCAATTGGAAAGACATGGGCTTGATCCTGGAGCCTGGCACACACCCTTCCATACGCTAATCGGGTGGCTTCGGAGACTCTGACGCCGAATTCACTCTGTGCTTGGTTGTGTCCAAGTCTTGGGAGTTGACATGGGCTCCCCCCCAAACAAAACTCCTTGGGGAAAGACGTCTTTCGTTCAGGCAGGCTTCTTGTGGGGAAGGCGGCCACTTCGTTTATGAGGAAGAGAACTTGATCTGCATCACCTCCTTTTTGCAACAATCCATGGAAGTGTATGTTTTGGGCCATTCGCAAACTTTGGAGACAAGCAAAAGCCCCCTCTCAGCTAGGTGGGGACATTTGTTGGCAACCTTTGTGGTTTTGAAGGGACACCAAAAGGAAGCCGAGCATTTTATGTGGGTTCCACAAATCTTTAAAACACCCAAAAGGGGTACCCAGGCGCCTACCTGGGTGAGCTGTTGAATCTGTAGAGTTCACCTGGGTTCCTCGCCGTTGGAAAAGCTGAAGCTTGTTGGGTATCCACAAAAATGAGAATGAAACCTCAAGGAACCTTTCCTTAGTTGCGCGCAAGGGCTTGCCTATCAGCTCCCTTTTAGCCACACAAATCATACCAAAACAGCTGTGGAATTTGGAGGGAAGTGCAACCTCACTTCGTCACAAACCTTGTTCTGTGGTTGAAATTTGTTCACAGGGTCTTGCTCCTTGGAAGGGGTTCTCAGTGAAAATCAAAAACAAATAGCACCTTTACCAGTCACTACTGTTTCCGTTCACAACCAGCCATAAGAAACCAGCCATAAGAAGCCCCCTCCCCACACCCTTTGCATATCCTACGACGTCGTAACTCTTACGGCTCAGTCTGGACAGCTTTGGGCTGCTCTTCTCAAGCATTCGGACTTCTTCATCAGCGCCGGCTCTGCGCCTCCCCCCAAACAAAACAAGCACAAACATATAAGAAAGAAAGAAATGATTGACCCCCACCCCCCCCCCCCCCCCGTCCTTCAAAAAAAACAAAAAACCGACAGCACAAGCCACACAAACTCCTGGAGTCTTCGACTCACTCGCTTGGACACACTGACCTGCCCCTTTTAATGGACCTGATTGCAAAGGACCAAGTCGCCAAACAAATTTGGCTGTGGCTCAAAAAATGGTACCCAAAATGGCCCCTTGGTAAATGGAACAAAGACCAAAAGCTGCGTAACCCTGACTCTTTAATTTTGAGCCGCACCCATTTACATCAAAAGCTGAAATCTGGTCCATTTGCGTTGCAAGTGAGCCGGTGCCAACGCGTTTGGGGATGAAGCTCCGGAATCTTTGAGCATGTACGTCTGTTTTGGGGGCAACCCCCCTTTTTGGCTGGTATTTAAAGCGAAACCATGAGGAAAACAGCACTTGGCTGGGGGTCCCTAAAAAAGACACCCCATTTTTGTCCTCCCGGGTACATTCTTTGTTTGGGCACATCATCAAAGAATATCAATCCTGCTTAATAAGTATCGGCCCGTACACCCAAAACGGACCCACGTTTTGCTGACAAGTCTTTGGCGCCCCCAAAAAGCCAAGGCTTTTTCTCGGTCCACTCGCACGACCTATCCTCCCCTCCTCGCGGAAAAACCGTCGATGTCCGGATGTCCCGTCCTCGCGGTTGACTCGGCGCCGCCATTGCTCGCAGCGTTGGATGGGGTCGTAGCCCACCGCCATGAGAACCAAAGCCCAACGCTGAGCGCCGGCTGGGCTCAGTGGAGTAAAAGTTATGAACTCAACATCAGCTAGGTCCTCCAGAGAGGTTAGAATAAGGGTACCAACTTTTTTCCGTAGTCTATTTTAGTAGGCGAACCCTCCCCCAAAAAAGGGTAAAAGGGCACTACTGGGGGAGCTAGTCAGAATACATTGAAAAAAACCGTCTTTCAAACATATTTCAGGGTCCATCATCTCGCTGTTCAAGATGAGTTCTGAGAAACTGCCGTTCTAATTGCTTATTATCATTATTATCATGATTGCTGTGTTTTTTTCTTGTTCTGTTTTCTTTCTAAAGACCACACACACACAACTTGAGCCATTCCTTTATGGCGAAGCAACTTGTAGCCTAGGATGACATGTACCATGTGGTAACTCCCTAGCTTCAGAGGTCGAAGGTGGTCAAACCAAGGGGATCCTTTTTGTCAGGAAGACAGGCGTTCTGAGAGCAACACATAGGCTGACAATTCAAGACCTCGTAAAAGTGTAAAACCCCCGCGTGAAGTATGTCATCTTGTTTCTTTCCATTTGCAATATTCAACACAACCATTTCTCTTTGAAACCAGCCAGGAAACAACACAGCTGGTATTGACCAAAAGACTTGCTTAAGGCGAAAACAACTGGAACACACTTGTTCTTCGGGATCCCTCTGAGACGACCTCAAATCGTTACGCAGCTTGACAAGGGTATGAGACCTGATCCCCTCCCCTGATGAATTACAGGTGGTGCTTTCCAGGGGAGGGGTCAAAAGCTGAAGCTCAAGAACCCCGACAAGCAACAAGTCGTCATGTGCCCTAGGGGTTTTGGATCTCAACAGCCCGAGAAAAAGAAAGAAAAACAAACACACACACACACACACACCCACACACACACACAACCACACACACACAACCCCCCTTCTACGTGTTTCCCAGCAAATAGGAAGATTCTTGAATGCTTACTTGATGTTTGCTGGAAGGGCCTAGAAAAGCATGGCTTCGCTATCCTGTGACATCAGGGATGCTTTTTCGCACCAGCTGGATGCGTGTTTCACTTGCAACCAAGGGTTCAAGGGACCCAGAAAGAAGCATGATCACTGTTGGAATCGCTTAGACCTGTGAAAAGCCCTTGGATGGACCTGGTGAGCCTGGTGTTACAGTGAGGCTGGAAACATGTCAAACAACCAACCATACCTGCATGTTTCTCTTCGGAGGAATTGTGCAACTTAAACTTATGGGCAATTTACCACTCAAAGTGTCCTAATCTTGGTTGACGTTGGATGGGGAGCAAAAAAATAATTTTTAGCAGTTAAGTGGTTGGATTTCAACCACTAAACCACAATAAGCAAAAATGCAAAATGTTTCCCAACGACCATGTAATTCCTGTCCTTTCCGGGGAACCCCCAGAAATGGAATCGTAGTGACATCAGTCGGCGCGATCCAACTTTTCCCTCGCAAATGTGCGTGGTAAGCGGGCACACCTGCAATGGACTTCCGATCCTCGGAAGCAGAATTGGGATTGCTGAAGCAGAATTCGATGGGTCAAAACGAGAAAATCTTAAGGCATGGTTCAAGGGGAAACTTACAGGTTTCGGATACCCCACACCTGGGTGGGGCAATCCAGATCTTACCTGAAGCAGTTTGTATGGCTTGAAGAACATGTCTGATTTCAATGCTCGCGATCTCAAACACCTTTGTGTTTGATGCAGTTGTACTGCCAGCTTGCCGACAGCGAGGCAATCGGACCTCGTCCAATTCCCAGAGACTTTTGTTGCAAGCTGCCCGCGGGGCTGTGCTACCTCAGCTTTTGCCCCCGAACCAAAATGTGTTTCAAGAGTCTGGTCCACATGTGGACCTTGCAATGTACCATGTCAACAGGTAAGGCATTGCGCCGTCAGCAGCCTCCAAGGCCCCGCACAGGATCTCTAATGGTCTCCTTTCATATATCTGTCTATGTATATATATATATATATGTATGTATGTATGTATGCATGTATGTGACGTCAAACACGGTCCATGTGACTGGGTATTCCATGAAGCAGCCAGCCCTGCGAGCAGTCAGCATTATTTTACCAGCCCACCTCACCCAAATCGCGCGCTCGAGCTGCTAACCAACTCAAGCAGGCATAGCCATAAGTGCTCCGTTAAGCAAATGGCCTGAAACATATTGCAAGAGAAACTTTGTTGACATGAAACAAAGAACGCCCCGGAAAACCCGAGGTTTCACATTCACAGGCAATGGCCGGAATGTAAGAGCCTCAGTTTACACTCTGGCCATGCAAATGCGCGATCGTGGAGTCGGAAGGCTTTGTGAAATTCCCTGTGGACTCACAGATCCGGATTCTTCCAAGGCGAGTCCGCTGCAAAGACGAAGTCCACCATCTGCGGAAAACATCCAGCAAAAGTTCCCGGTGTGCCCCTTGGGAGGGGGTTTAAACAAAAACAAGCTCGACCTGAGACATCGGAGAGGTGTTGGATAAGGCCGCCCCCCCAAAATCCCAGTCCTCCAACCCCAATCCCAACCGCTCAACCCACTTCGCTTGTTCCGATGGAACAGGCCAACGTGGGTGCTGAAAGGATATGGGAAAGGGGGACCTGCGAACCCTTGACCATATATCGCTTTCCTGTGCCGCCCGTTAGAGGGGGGAGTTTCCCTCGTCGCTGGGGAGGGGGGAGTTTCCCTCGTCGCTGGGGAGGGGGGAGTTTTTGCGACTCCGGGAAGGCGTGTGCAGATCGCCACCTCCACGGATCTTCCTTTGCATATGGCTGTGGGTCAAAACCAATGGGATCCCATTTTGGTTGGTAGGTGCACCACCCATTTTAGTAGTGATTGTAGTGAGGATTGGGATGTTCACTGGGGGGTACGGGATTTTGACCCATGGCCATATGTGCAGCAGATTTGTTCAAAGAGTTTCAGGGAAGAATCCGGAGATGTTGCAGTGATGAGTGAGTGGAGCATGTGTAAAAAGTGGGAACCAGCGTTTGAACGCAAAGGGAAGCAAGAAGCACGCCACCGCTTGGAGGGGCTTCCGAGCCGAGCACCTGAGGGTAAATTGGCTCATCCCACGGGTTCTCATGCATCTTGTCCAGCCCGTGCAACCCGGTTTGCTTTTTGGATGAGTCAACCCCTGCGAGGGAAACTTCCCACACCACTCCCAACGAGGGTACCAGCCCTTCGCATCAACAGAAAGGAGCAAGTGTGTTGTTGACTGCAGGCTCTCGTCCAAATCCTGTTTTGAATAGCAGCCAACCCTGTTGTCAATATTGAAGCTAATGCAGAACGGCATTTCTGGTTCTGGTCGTGAGCGCACTTCTGCTGCGCAAATCGCATGGAACCACTTCGCCCTGCTGCCGCCTCGACGCCTTCGAACCCCCCCCCCCCGCCGTTCAAGTGGCTTCACGGAGCTTTCGGGACATCCGTCAAAAGTTTGTCTGCGCTGGTCAGCGAACAGAAGGAATGGCTTTGGGCTTTGTCAAGAGTCCAACCCGTGTTTGAATGGCCGGGCAAATAATCTTGCGCAAGTCAGCTGCGCACGCAAGTTTAGCTGTCAAACATACCAGCCTGCCGCTAGGTGTGTTAACTTGTTAACTGTGGGCCGTGATAACATTGGGATAGATTTGGGCTTTGCCCAAACTAATCTTTCACATGAAATGGTATGATGCCTGGAACCGACCCAGACAAAAGAACCGTTCTCCATATTGACAGCCATCTCTATAATCCCCGAATTTCTTTTGAGTCTGAGCACAGGTGGGCCCCCCTCACACGCAGGCTGCTTGCCGGGCCTGCGCCAGCTCGCCTTGCCTCGGACCCAGACTCCATTTGAAGTGCTTCGAAGGTAAGGCTTCTGAACTCACGTGACTTTTAGTGCGTGGGTTGAAAAGTGCGGCACGTGTTATACTCAAAAGACCCAATGTCTTGAGACTAGGGTCATGGACCCTTGAATAGGAGTTTCGTCCGACGGCTCCTAAGGGAGCCATCACCATATGCATACCCTGTTGGGTATATGTAATAGAGGGCATGTGAAAGGTAGCGAAATGACATCAATCTCCAAGCATCATCCTGCGCGGCTCCTCACTCACTGCAACCGGTTTCAACGGCAACCACCATTGATTCCTCGTCCCTTGAAGCCCAAACTCTTCAGGCGGAGCTTCCATTGGTTTTGGCTGCGAGTTGGAAAGGTCTAGTAGTTTGCTTAGCATGGCTCTGCCAGTGTCGATCCCTCCAAATGCCTGCTCGATGTCACGTTTAGCTTCTTGAGCTTCCCTGAAAAAGCGCTTTCGACCTGAACACCCCCCTCAAAAACTCAAGTTGGACAGTCCTTGGGGGACTCTGGTAGCTACAAATTGTTTGTCTAAGTCGGCGATATGTCGGACTCGCCAAGGGGAGGCACACGGGGGGGAAAAAAAAAAAAACGACGGTCCACACATGACAACAATACATCTGGAAACCGAGGATAACCCAGAAGAAAATGTTTGTCTAGCTGGGAATCCATCGCTTTTAGTCCGCCAGGTTGGTTCTCCGCGGTCGGCCTTGCCAGTGATTGCCAGCGGATGGGGAAGAAACAAAACGTCCAAACTTGCTACCACGAAAATGGTCTTCTTACAAAGTCCAAAAAAGTCCAGGAGCTCAGGAAGCCAGCCATTCACAGCGGGTTTTTGTTGATTCAGATCCAACCCCCCAAAAAAAGCCACGCCCCCCCGCCACCCCCCCCCCCCCCCCCCCCCCCCCCGGCACCCCCGGCCCCCCCCCCCCGCCAACCGAAACCGAAACCGAAACCGAAACAGAAACGCGAAGCGAACCGGGCGCCCAAGCTTCCATTGGCCGCTCAAGACATGGCCGCTCTGAAGCTTCAGCAGCCCGCGACCTGCCGCCGGTTCGTCGGTCTCAAACTTCCCGAGCGCATGGGGGTTTGTGGTTCTGACCCTCTTCACCTCGGTGTTCTCAAAGGAAATCGAGGGGAAAGCGCCATGTTTGTGGGTTCAGGTACTTTTTTGATAGCCTTGCAGCCATCTGAGCGAAAGTTCGATGCTGTTTGGAAAACCGGACAACTGGTTTAGTCATTACAGTTGTCTTCTGGTTACCATAACCAGCCACCCGCACCCCAACTAGATGCTTTTCAAGCGGAAAGGGAAAGAACCCTAAGAGCTACAGTGAAAACCTGTAAGACAGAACTACATGGGCCGAACTGCCGCATGATAAGAGTTACTTCGCCTACTGCAACATATTGTCAATGCATACTCACCTATATGGCCCTGGGTCAAAAGCCCGTACCCCAATCCCCACTAAAATACCCCAAAATGGTACCATAGGTTTTGACCCACAGCCATATAATGCCATATATCACAATAAGCACACGTGTTCCGTTCTATGTGCCTTAAGTCGCAACGACAAATGCCAGGTCCATGTTCCAGAGCGTGTCAGACCCATCCGGATCCGAAGCGTGTCGTTTGCCCGGCCGTCTTTCCGGCCAAAGGCGAACTCCCCGTCGTAGACGGAGCCATCCTCCGCGCACGCGAAGAGGCCACGGCCGTGGCCTTGGAGCGATGGGCTTGCCTTCAAACAGGTGAACCCCCCGAAAACTGGATGCTCTTTTGGCCGCCCAGACCGGTCCGAAAAACTGGAAGGCAACCTTCGACAGGTCCCCTCACTTCCCCAGACTCGCTTAGGCCGAGGTGCGCTTGTCATCTAGCCACTGGCCCTCGTAGCGGTTGCCGTTGGAGTACAGGAAGGTTCCAAAGCCAGCCGCTCTATCGTCCGCCCACTGGCCTCGCATCGTTTCGAACGCGGCACGCCTTTTTGGACATTTGTGCTTACCCGGTCGCAGCCAGTGGCCTCACCAGCAGGAAAAGAAGACTCAGTGCTTTTCGGCAGGCCCCCACTTCTGTGATGCAAGAAAATCTCCCCCTTTACAGGGGGGGGGAAGAACTTTTTGGTGTATCACAGAAGTGTCACTTCCCACCGCCCCGCTTTTTGGGGTTCGGCATGTCTGAGTCGGAAGCTCCGCAAAGATAAAGAGCAAAGAGGGTGCGCTGCACAACTGGCGAACGAACTTGCGTCACAAGCAAAACCTAGTATCAACGGTCTTCCAAAATCCATGGGAAGGAATCAAGGGCGGTGCTTGCTGCATCTATGCTTGGGACTGTCCCCAACTTTCGCGTACCTGGAAGGTTGCTAACAGCCAACATGCAAAGCTCTGCCTGGTTCTATCCATTGAATCACACTCGGCTTTACCAAAGGACTTGAAAACAACTGTTGGCCAACTTTAGTCTCCATCAGCGTGTACAAAAGAAATAGTTTAACAGCGGGAGAGCAAAGGTCAAGCGCTTGTGTTGGGGCCGGTGTGATGTCTTCCTTGAACTTCTTTGTGTTCATGACGTTCTCTTTCTGCCAGTACTCCTTGCCTTCTGTATGTATCTTTCTATCCCTGTATCTTGCTTTCTTACCCTCCCTCACTTGCTCCTCATCCGGATCGTGTTGTGGTCGAGCGAATCAAGCAACAGCCTGCAGATTGAGGTTTTGAACAAGGCCGCGAGACTTAAGCTTGCAGAAAATCACCCAACACAGTCTGTGCTCGTTCTGCCTGCCGGTCTGCCAGTGAGTTCAAATGGTTATTGCGATCATTGGTAAACATATTTCGTTATGCATTGCCAATCAAATCAGAAGGGGCCTTAGGCAGATTGGATTTTGGTCCATCCACCCAACATGCCGGGGTCTCACCTGCTAAGTTGACTGGCCGGAAAACTTAGACTTTCGGTGCCATGAGCAAAATCATGAGGACACCCACCAAATAGTTTGAAGCTTGGCAACTCAACGGGGCTGCGAAGAGCCAAAAGGCCGCGCGGACCTCTGGACCCCCGCCTCCCCCCCCCCCACAACGGCCCGCAAAGCCACGGCTTTTGTTGGCGTGGGCCTTTGAAGCGATCGCCGTTGGAGTAGATGAGCTCACCCTCACCCTCCTTCTTGGCCTCAGGCACGAGATGCTCTCTTCGGGAAAACGATGACATGCCTCAAACCTCAAACAATTCTAGGGGTACCTTCCCCATTCTTTCCAGGGATCCTTCTTTCAGGAAACCATCAAAAATTCAGGGGCAAACCGCCGGTGTTTAAAAAGAACGATGCTTGAAAAGAATGGACAAGGAATCAAACCCCAGAATGTGTCAAATGCAAAAGGCTGCCAGCTTAAAGGACCAGGAACCAAGTAGCCACTCATGGAGCCTCTGGGAGGGTGTCGAAAAATCAAAGCCCGCATCTTGGTTGCTGTAACGACCCTGCAAAAAGTTGTTTTAAACCTTTTTTGGGGGGGTTTAGCGGAAAACGCCTTGATTTCAACCAAAAAAGTTAAAGTCCAAAGATCCAACCCAATAGCAGTCAAGGCATGTGGAAGGTTGTGACTGCCCTCTGACCTTCTAATGTTACTTGCGGACTTTGCCGTCGAAGCCTGGTGCATTGGGCTGACAAGCCGCCAAAAAAGTGATCCTTTGAACCTGTGGAAAAAATATGTTGTTGCATCTATCAACCGGGATTTATTCCTCAGGGCTAGCTGTCTGGCCTGCCATCTGGTCTTCCAAACGGGAAATAGATTCTGTAAACCCATACCATTTTGCCTCTTGTCATCTAGTTGCCATCTAGTCGAACCACATGGTCTCTGAGTGACTTTCTGGTGATTCCACCAGCCTGTCCTTTTGGAACACACAAACTCGGGGGGCCTTCAACATGGGTGAGCTCTTTAGTCACCTGGCGGGTTCTTGGCCCTCGCCCCCCACCTCGCCACACTGGGTGCTTTAGACATGATTTAACAGCAATTGTTTACCTCCGTTTGTTTGAGCCCCCGAGAAAAATACATGTTCCAGCAATTAAGTCCCTTTAAAACCAACCTTTGGGAAAACAACACATATTTCCGAAGCTTCCGGAGAGTTTTTCTGCCCAACGCCTCGCCGGATCTCGCCGGATCTTAGGCCGCAGCATCCACCCAGTCGCCCACGAACTTGTCCCCGTAGGTGTAGACCAACGTGCCTTTGCCGTGCACCTGGCGGCTGGGATCGAAGCGGAAGGATCCCCGTTCCCGAGGGTCACCAACGAATCTGCACGAGAAAGCAAGCCTAGGCTTTTCCCCCAGACCTGAGAGGTTGGAATAAGTTGGTATCAGCTTTCTATGTAGTCTATTTTAGTAGGGTCCCGAACCCTCCCCCAAACAAGAAACGGTGAAAGGGCACGAACTAGAAGCCCAAAGGCAGCACAACACAGAACCAAAGAACGAACGGCACGAACACACACAGTGAACCTCTTTTGGTAGGAAAGCCGGAAGGAGCCTGAATTGATGCAGGGGTCCAATTTGTTGCTAAAGCCAAAGAAAGTGAGGCTGCAGAAAGGCGTAGTTTGTGAGGGTGAGCTGCTGAAGGGGAATTACCAATTTGGCCGTCTCCCCATTTGGATTCTTTGGGCAAACGAGGACTTCTCCCATTCAGCGATGTTGTACATATGTGTGTGTGTGTGTGGTGCCACTCAAAATCTAAACTATCCACTGGCGATGAAAGTGTTCCAGCAAAAAAAGAAAAAAACACAGTGCAGGGAACGGAACCCGTCACCTGCAGCGGATGATATTGAAGCTGTGGGTGAAAGCCATCTCCCAACGTGTGCGTCTTCCGAGAAAACCTGCAGGAAATAGTCAAGCTGTTGACGATTTCAGCTGGTTTCCACACTAAAACCTGGAATGGACCCCCATTTCAGCTGGTTTCCACACTAAAACCGGAATGGACCGACCCCCTTTCGGATGTTGAAAGGAACCCCCTCAAAAGAACTGCAGCTGTTTTGGAGTTCCGTTCCTTGGGCTCCTTGAGGTCCCCGATTCAACTCGCGTGTGGATAGGATGTCCACTCTTGACTCCAAAAGGTCATGTTCAGCTTCTTGGCTCGCTAGAACATATACCCGTTTTATGTTAAACAAATGGAATAAGTGGATACTTGGAGGGAACATTTTTGTTGGGTTTCATTCCTGGGAAGTCCTCATGTCTCGAGGAACCTTTCGGATTCTCTGAGTCAGCAACCACTGCCAGCTTCCAACCCGAGCCCAAGACCGATAAACCAAAGGGCAACCACTCATGGGGTCTCAAATTCCATTGAGAGAGATACATCTGGAACCTTTTCGAGAACTATACATATATATAGATAGATAGAACCCGTTTGTTTGGTCAGGGGTTGACATCATGCCGCTGACCACCCTGGATTCTGCGGAGTTGGTTGATGCTCCCAGTGCACCTTGTCCGCCTTCCAGAAGCCGTCGTACTTCTCCCCGTTCTGGTAAGTCAGCGTGCCGTAGCCTGCGGGATTTGCGGGACGCGCGAGCAAGGGAGTCGGACACTCCGAAGGTATGCCGAGCAGTGCTTCCAGTAAGCCACGATGGGCAACCAGTTTTTAACATGGTTGACGTTGGAAGGGGAGCAAAAAAGTAAATTTTAGCAGTTAAGTGGGGATTTCCCCAAAAAACCACAATAAGCAAAAATGTAAAATGTTTCCCAACAACAACCATGTCTTGCCCTTGTCGCAAACCTCTCAGCCAATTCTTTGCTCTTTAAAGACATGAAAGCTCGCCCGGTTTTCCGCTGCAATTTAACGCAACTGGAAGCGTGGGCAAAATGACCTCCCAAGGGCAAACTGCATTTTTCATGCCCTCCTCCCAGGCCATTTGGCTTCCCAGGCTGGAGGGTCGGTGCCCCTTCGGTATACCAAGAAAAAACGTTAATTCAAAGCCTGGGATATGAAAACTCGGGGGAACCCCACTCCAACTTTTTGATTTAGGGCAACCACGGGGTCTCATTGGCCCTCAACCCATGTCCAAAGCGGGACGGTAAGAAGGCTTCGGGATCCAAGGACGGACAGCCATCACCCAACGTGTGCCAATGTGACGTTATGCTGCTTTACTTCAATACCGTATATCTACACATGCAAAAAACAACAACAACATGGTTCGTGACGATGATGATGATGATGATGATGATGATGATGATGATGATGATGATGATGATGATGATGATGATGATGATGATGATGATGATGATGCTGATGATGATGATGATGATGATGATTGTAACAAGTTCTGTGTGGCTGAGATCTGGGTTAGTCTTAGAACCCTTGTGCTGAGAAGTGGGGAAATAGCCATTCCCCAACAGCCTGCCAAAAGGCTAAAAGTTCAGTTCGGACACATGAAAGGGGGAACAAGAAGAGAACAAGAGGCAATTGCTCAGGAAGTGACATTAAATGTGGTTCTGCAGGGATATATGTGCCGGAAAAGACTTTCCGTCCAACTTGACAACGCAAATGCAGTTAAGCAGAACTCAGACCAAAACCCCAGTGGAAAGGGGAACCAAGCAATCAAGCCTAACGCCAAACACAAACAGGTCTCATGAACTGCCCTGTCATTGCACACACTACGACGGATGTTTACCGATTGCATGTTAGCAAGGTAAGATGAGTGTTTGTCCCCTCCCGCTAAAAATAAGCGCAACGCACCAACGCACCAACCAACCAAGCAACCAAGCAACCAAGCAACCAAGCAACCAAGCAACCAAGCAACCAGCCAGCCAACCAGAAAACCAGCAAGCAAACTAAGCAAACAAACAAAAGAAGCAAGCAACTAACTAAAACACATGCCCCGGGAACAACGAAGGAGCCATGGCTTGAAGACTACCCTGTTGTTTGCCATGGTGCTCAAAAATCGAGCCGAACATCTCCGAGCACTACATGTCTTGCGCGTTCTTCCCAAGATGCGAAGGCCTTCTTTCATGTCATTCAACCACTCGCCGTCGTAGGTGTTCCCGTTCGGGAAAACCTCCAGCGGATCGACAGATCGATCGAGCGCTCAAGCAATCGAATCTTTGATCAGAAAAAGGAGCAGCAACTTAAACCGCGTGTTGATCGAAAGGCATGCCTACCACATGGAAGCAAACCTTGCCGATGAGCTCCTATCAAATGAAGATAGGGCAAATTAATAAGCTCTGGCTACTATGGAGACTCTCCTCAAATCGCCAGCTTGAATTCCCTCTAAGGCTATCATGTAGCATAGACTGCGCGAGTTGGTACAGTATGCAAATGAATGCGGGCGCTTCTCGAAGTAAGGGACCACCGAAAATGAGATCATAGACTGCGCGAGTTGGTACAGTATGCAAATGAATGCGGGCGCTTCTCGAAGTAAGGGACCACCGAAAATGAGATCTATCCTTGTGGTCTCCCTTCAAAGCCATCCAAAAGGGATCGATTGAGACTCAATTCCAGTTAGCTGGGCATGTCCGTCATCACGTTTGGGTTTGTTTGGCATAAACGCTTTAAAGACTCGGGTCTTTGGGGGAGAAGAACGAAAATCCCTACATAAATCTGGTATTCCTGCACTTGTCGAGGGCCTTTTTCTAGTAAGGCCCAGGCTCTTGAAGGGACAGCCCCGCGACCCGCAAACGAGAGAAAGAAGGAGCTCTGTGTCTGTGTTTCTCAACAAACGGAAAATGCAGCTTCACCATTTGAGACCGGCACTCATGTTGCCCATGCACCCTCTTCTAGGTCCTCCAGTAAAGAGGTTAGAATAAGGGAACCCTTTTTTCCTGTAGTCTATTTTAGTAGGGAACCCTCCCCCAAAAAAGAAACGGTAAAAAGGCACTACTGGGGAAAGTCCTACTTTTCTGCTGGCAAGGGTGGGCACAGGGATGCCGTCGATTGGCAAGGGGTACCTGAGGCATCGATTGACCCGGGAGGAGTTCAACGCCAAAATCACGGCTCCTGTAAAGCACATCCATGGCCCGCAACTGGAGCTTTGACCATGAGAAAAAAATGAGCGCCCCTGTAGAGAGCCTGGCTCAGAACATGGAACGCAATTGTTGGATTCAAAGGAAACAGCGAACTGCAAACCCACCTAGAGGTGATTTCACCCCAAACATTCTGGTCGGGGCCTGTGGCACCAGGCAAGTGCTCATATCCGCGCTAGGTTCCTGTTGCAAGAATTGACAGCAAGATAAATGGCAATTCAAGCATTTCATCAGGGATCCATACCCGAGGGGAGTACACACAAATATATAGGTGTTCACACCTAACAAACACATGAAGCGCCCCGCTCCACGCATTTTGTCCCTTATATATCCATGCATTTGCAAGGCTTGGGGGCTTACATGAGGGTGGGGATCATATGGGATGTTGGACCCTAGCAGAAATTAATTTCCCCTTTTGAAGTTAAACTGCAAAAGGATCGGACAAAAACCAGCTGAGAGAATCTTTTTTCAAGGCACCCCACCCCCCCCCAAAACGATGACCGGTTCTTTGGGTTCCAACCGTTAAAACCAAACAAAACAGGGCAACCAACGCAAAAAAGAGACACGCCAGTCATCAGCTAGAGAGGCTTCGGCGAGATAACTAAGGCATCGGCATACACTCCCTTGCCGTGCATCTTGCCATCGTGCCAGTCCCCCTCGTAGACTCCGCCGTCTGCATACTGGTACCTCCACGTCACGCATTTTCTGACCACCAGAACCCATGGAACCCGCCGAAACAAAAAGAGAAAAAACGGTGCCATTTTGGGTGAGAAAACTTTGGTTTTATATACCAAGGCAATTGGAACCTGACAGGGGCCCGGTCCCTTGAAAAGGGGTCTAGCGTCTTCCAGGACGTGGTCCCATGGCATCCGATCACTTCGCTTGGGTGTTTAAAACCCATTCATCAAAAGCAGCTTTAGATGTACCCACTGCAACCTGCTGCAACCTAGATAAAAAGCGGCGGTGTGAGTTCCCCTGGTAGCAACGATCAACATGGGCCTGCCATCAGGGCCCCCGTGTTGCAGCCCATTGCAAGCCGATGGTCGCTATCATTAAAACAGCTTCGAGTGATGAGTGGATTGAACTTGACTAGACTGCGCGCACACATCCAAGCTGGGCAAGCCTAGGTTGGTCTCACACTGACGCTCTGCAAAACATGAAAAACACCATTTACTACTTGGTGCTACTTTGTGGCTGAAGACGTCCGCTGTCCGAAAGGTGAGGTGAAGTGGTAAAAGGTCAAACTTGCAAAACATGATCATTTGCATGACGACCAAAGACAAAGCACGGGGTGATGTGCATGAGAGGAAAGCAAAGGGAATTGTACTACGTTTGAGAACCTTAATATATGTGTATATATATATTATGCAAGCTTGAGTCAACCACCAGCTGGAACAAAAGACGATCCATTTGGACACATTCTCAACTGAGCTACCGTCGTGTACATGCTAAGATTTGATTGCATCACGGTGGTTGTCAAGGTCCAATCAAGCCCTCACAAGTTTGCTCTAGAACATACATCGCCTACAAAATGGGCAATTGTCTTGGCTGCTTTGACATACTCGTCTTCCTGCCCTTTTCGGGTATGTGTCAAAACTAAGAACTCTTCGAGTTCTCCCAAAAAAATAGCTTCCTTTTCCTGTTTGAAGCTCTCCCCTGCTGTCGCTTCAATGACAGAGATGGCATGCGACTGTCGTGATGTCCGACTCAACGGCTCGTGAGATCTTGTCGCGCACTTGCCGTGGCCGTGCATCTTTCCTTGGCAAAATGACACTGGAAATCTGCTGTATCTAGTGGCAAGTAAGACCACCTGCACTGGAAGGCATGCTCCCACAAAACCATGAGCACAACCAAGACTAGCTTCAATCAAAAGCTGGTCCAGCTTTGTCAAATGATGGCTTTCTCACTCATATTCAACACCTAGAAATGCTTGTTGCATATGCTCGAATAAATCGCCCTGGAGCGGTTTGCAAGCTCAAGGCTGAAAGTTGGAGAATGTGATGCTTTGTGTTGGCGGAATGTTGAAACATGTCGCACTGAAGGTCAAGCTGCGCAACCGAACAGTCTAGCAAAATCACTGGCTGATAGTGCTCAGCTCGAAACGAAAGGTGACCGCGCTTCAAAACCTCCACAAATAGACCGCACAAAATGGGAAAGCGAGAACGTTGTGTGATATTAAGCTTCCATGTGCTTAAAGTGTTGTCTGCGGTTTCCCTCTCAGGCAAATAACGGGTTGTGGACTCTACGGTTGCAACTTCCAACCAAGGCGACATCCATTCCAGGAAGCCCTCCTTAGGGAAACAGCTGCTTTTCATAAGAACGAAGATTGACAATGATTCAAAACCCCAAACCACCAACCCAAGCCACCAACAAAAGGGGTACCTGAGGGTCCTTGGGACGTTCAGCAGAACAAGGAATCACCCCCTTGTATGTGTGTCTACCTTTCCGGCCTTTCCAGGAAATTATACTTTCCCCAAAGGACCGTGCTAATTACGCCAAGTATCCATCAGTAAACGAAAACCATTTGTTTCTCGCAATCAAGACGTCGACTAGAACAAGATCAGGATTTCAGCAGTGCTTTCTACTGGCACCTTACAATCTAAGAGGAAACAAGTATGAAAAGGCCATCACGTGGTAAAGTTTGCAAGCATCCGGAACGGATAAAATATGGGGGTGTTTCTCCAAGAAAGACCCGTGTGGGTTGAAGGTTGGTGCTCCTTTGGCTGCCTTGGAAACCCCTCAAACACACTGACACACCAGCACGACCTTGGTAAGGACCCCTAGCTCTGCGGGCTGCCTTCTGGACTTGGGATGTTTCACATGCTCGAAAAAGCAGGCATCGGGCATTCGGGAGTGCTGGGAGGGAAACCGAGGCACAAGGAACAGAAGAATTACACACATGATTCGACCAGGGAAACCAAGGTACAAGGGACTGAAGAACAGACATGATGGTACGCTTCCACGTCATTCGGCTTCCCCCACCCCACTTGGCTATGAATTGAACTATGGATTCGGAACCTCTGGAAAGCGGAAGCAAGAAACATCAACCCGAACATGATGTCCACCAAGGGGCCCGAAAAACAAGATCATACCTATCTGGGTCTCTTTTTTGGGGGGCACCCCTCTACTTTTACAGGGAAATCGAAAGTGCAACCCAGCATTTTGAGGGGTCACCAAAGGACACACCCACATCGGCCTCGCCAGATTTCGGGCCTGAAAGTAAAAGGCAAAGCGATGAGCCATCTTGGGGGGTTTCGACATTCGTAGACCTCAGTTGGGTATGGGTTAAAATTAAACCACCAGGAATCGGACCACAGGGTTACTCCATGTTTCCATTTACCAGGGCAAGCCATTTTGGGGTTACCCTATTTTTGACCCACAGCCATTTGGACCCATCGCCAAGGTTCCGTTGACCCAGTCACCTTCGAACTTCTCCACGACGCTGCCTCGAGCACTAACCTGCCGCAGGACCGGCAGCCGCAAACCGGGCAGGGGGTGGTCTAAACCAAAAGAGAACGGTTTCCGCCAGAACCCAGTATCTTCTGAGGATGATGTTGACCCCTTTGGCCTAATTACATCCTCAGGTACTTGGATCCTCGTGCGTTTTCGAGAAAGTCAAAGCTGGTTTCGTTCCACGCCAAGGTGACTTCTTCGGCTTCAAGCTACGCGAGCGTCTACCGGATCCCTCCGGATCCCTCTGCAAGGGTGGGATGCCCTCTCAGAACAAGCTCTGGCAGAAAAAGGTGGCTGGCCTTTTGAAGGCAACGCTGCTGGTTTGGAACAGGCAAACGCGGTGCCGCCTTTTTCTCAGAACAATTCACTTGTTTTCTGAGCTGTGGCAGAAACAAAATTGAAGCCTGGTCGCCAACTGATTCAAGCTCCCTAGCTCAGCTAGTAAGAGTAACTGATGAAAGCTTACTCCCCTATACAGCCACGTAATATTCAATAAATCAAACCACTTGTTCAGGTTTTATGCTAAGCTCCAAGGTTCTCACAGACATGGCTTTCGAGGGGGGGGGGTCTACGGGAAGCGAATGTTTGCTTGCATGAAACCTGAGCCATTCAGGAACCCGACTAAAAACACCTGTCCCCTTCTTGTAAAATAGAAGGGTGTCCCAAGTGAATGGGGCATTAAAACCAATCTAAACCACTGGAACCCCTTGTATTTCTATCCAAACTAACCCATCAAACTGACTCCTATGGTTCTATACCAATGAGCATCTGATGGAATCATAGGGAAGTGACCAGAAGCAGAAGAGAATCTAGCCAGGCACCAAACAACTAGAACCTGCACAAGTTGGCCTCTATGCTAAAAAAACGCGTGGCTTGTCAGACATTGGAAATTCGAAAGGAAGGGTGAGGAATGATTCCGAGGAAAGAATCTTGCAGGATGTCACTAACATATTATTTTTGCGCGGCCGGCCTAAACCCGATATGTTCTGAGCCTGAACAGTTCTATCCTGACGAAGTTTGCCAATGACACCAGGATGTATAACGACCCGTTTCTTTTGCGGACATGGCTTTCGTCCGTTTTCCTGCTGACATGCTTCCCAAAGATGTGCGTGTTCCGAAAGTTGCGCCCGACCGATATTTCTCGGAAACGGGTGGAGGTTGAACTTTTGGGGTGCGACCTGCAGGTTCTTTGGTTTTGCCAACCTGTTTCTACACAACTTCTGTTTGGCACCCCGCAAAACATGAGTGACCCCAAATGGAGGGTCCGCACAGAGATCAAGAACAGCAAAGTACAGACGAGTAAGCAAGCATGAAAGCAAAATCAAACAGCTCAAATATGTACCAAGAACAGCCAATAGCAAACAATTCTAAGGAATACAACACCGGCAAAGTGTGTTCTGACACCTTCCAAAGAAACACCTTGCTGGTTCTCAGAAGGGAGACCCGTATAAACCATACATCCTATGGTTTTCTTTTGGGGAATCCCCTTCCGGTTCATTCCCGAAACCTCCGGACTCGTTGTCTTTCCCTACCTATCGCAGATGCAGCAATTGCCACCGTCCCCCGCTCTGAGGTGCCAGGCGTACGTCACAACGCCCTTCCCGTGACGCTTGTCGTCCCGCCACTCGCCCTGGTACACGTCACCCTCTGCCTGGAGTCGACCAAAGGATCGGGGATCCCATTGCCCGCAGCAACTTGGGAGAAACATGGACAAAGTCCGAATGGCAGAGATAAAGCCTTGTGAGTGGATGAACCACCTACCTCCAGGAATTTCTCCATGGATGAATGAAATGCTACCAGTTCCCCTGGTCGGCGAGAAGGGATCTTGGGGGAACAAAGGGAGGGGAGGCGCTCCTCCAGCTTTGAAAACAAAACAATCGACGGCGACCTCTACAAAAGCCCTGGTTTAGCCTTTAAGGACAATCGGGAATTACTGTAGGGTTGTTACTCAGCAACATTCAGGCCGAGGCCGTTGTAAAGGGTTTGCAACTTGTGACCTGTTTTTGGATTGACAATTGAATGAAGGAACGCACCTCTCAGAGTGGTTGGATGAGCAAAACACACGGTTTCAAGGAACTTTGCTTAGGCTGGAAAAAGGGTCCTCGAACTTGGGAATCCCTGTGGATGTTTAAAGCGACGGCAAGAGGACACTGCTCGACCCTTCTCTCGCTGAACCGAGCTTCGACGCCAGGAGGGGGCAAGAAACGGGTCCAATTTGGGGCCAAAAAAAGTGCTCGTTCATGTGTCCCTCCTTCTTGGGGGGTCGGAGAAGGGTCCAACAAGACCTCTCCCTTCGTGCAAACCCTCACATGGCACCACGCAATTGCTTGGGACGCTGCATACCTGTAGGTCCCTCGTCCGTGCATCTTTCCGTCGTGCCTCAGCAACGACTAACTAAAAGCACCTGCACACTTGCTTGGCTCCGCTTGCGCATCTTGGGTATCCCCGCAAGTAGAGAATGTGTGTCACATTAGTATGACCCCAAAACTTTGGTTTCCGTTGAAACCAAGCGGAAGAGGCTACCCTCAAGCACACACACACAATGATTCATCAAATTCCCCAGTAAAGGACCTTCATGATTGGTGAGAGCGCTTTGCACCCTGGCGAGCTCGCCGAAATTAGTGCCAATGGTACTCCGGGAACTTTGGTTCAAACACATTGAAGCATACACAGACACACACAGACACACACACAGACACACAGACACAGACACACTGCAGACACACACACAGACACACCCAGACACACTGCAAACACACACACAGAGACGCACACACACAGACACACACACAGACAGACACACACACACACACACGCGCACACACAGACACAGACACACACACACACAAACACACACACACACACAAACACACACGCACACAGACACACACTTATCTCGAGAGGCTTCACTAGCCGAGATGAAAAACGCAGTCAGTAAAAATGCTTGAATGCAAACGCAAATCAACAGGTCACAACATCGACACCGAACAGGAAGCAACAGCGACAAACAGAAACCGCAAAAGGAATCAGGAAAGAGGGTCAGGAAATAGGCAGGTACGCCGGATTGATCAGATCCGGTATCCACCGAAATGCCGTAGCTTCATTGGACTGGATAGGCAAATCGGCTCCAGTCCCCCTGCAATGTGGAATTTCCGTCCGTGCTCCAGGACGCTTCACACACACGGAGCCCCAACTGGGGCGACATCACTTGTGCAAGGCCCATTGAGTCTTGCAAGCATCAATTGTGCGAGAAAGTCTTGTGGCGATGACTGACCACACATACTTGGCTTTGGAATTGGTCTTAAGGGAACGGAGGAGTTCAATCTCTCCCTCAGTCCAAGGCTGCGAGGCTTCAGGTTCGGCCTCAGTAGAGGCATCAGTCCTGGTCGATGTGGTAGCTTCGCTTGGTCCACGAGCAGGTTTTGGATGCCGTAGATCGTGAGGAGGCCAAATCACGTGCGCGGCGAGCTCGTTTTTCGCCGGGAGAAGACGGAGGAGGGGTGGGCGGAGCCCAATGATCAGGGAATTGTTCGTCATGATCAGTGGGAAGGTGTTCATCTGGAGCATCAGGAGGTGGCTCAAAGAGGTCCTCAATGGCGGGGTTGAGCGTGGCCTCCGGTGCCAAATCAGGTTCGGCAGGCGGACTCTCAGGGAACTCGCGGATGGTGGCGATGCCTTGTTGGGCAATGCCAAGGATGAGTTCGAAGTCTTGGAGCAGCTGGCGTGCTGTGTTGGTATCCATGCTCGTAACGGATTTTGGTCAAACAGTCAAACAGCTGCGGCGCGAAAATCAGGTCAAATCTGTCAGGATGCAAAGGCAGAGAAGAAAACCAGTGTGGTTCCGCAAAGGACGGTTTTTCTTCTCTTTGTAAGGTGAAACCGTGTTGGAGGTGCAACCTCTTCAACATTGCAAGACCCTGACCTCGCTGAAACTCAGGAAAGGAAACTCGGTTGATCAGCGTGCGTCCGGAATAACATCCAGATTCCTTATGCATCAGTGGTGCGGCTGACTTGACGGAGAGCATGTTGTGCTTCTCATGCGAGGGGATGAAGGAGATGGTGCTGCTTGTGAGGTTCAGTCGGAACCCCAAGAAGTCCAGGGCGGCTTCTGTGTCCAGGAAGATGTCTCCTCCATAGAAGTGTTCGTCGCACAGTATGTTGGCTGCCGGAGTCGAGAGCCACCTGGGGGTTGCGATCACGAGTCTGTTGTCCACGTAGCGGAGTAGGAGAGTATCTTCAACGGAGCGAAGTCCCGATGTGATGTGAGTGTTGGTCCAACATTGTTCGGCGACCGCGATCACCATCAAACAGAGAGCTGGGGACGCGGGGGATCCCATCGGTGCCCCACGTGTTTGCCTGAATGAACGAAGGCCGACAGAGAAGATCTGCATGTCAAGGGTGGCCTGAATGATCTCGGGGATGTCGTCGAGCCACAGGGTGCGTTGTGTGGGTTTGTGTCGGCGACGGCGTCCGTTGTAGACGCGGGTGATGGCAGAGGTGTCAAGTGTGTCCACTGTGAGGTGTGTGGTAGAGGAGTGTGGTTGTCGTTGTCGGTACCAGGTTAGCAGTAGTCGCCAGGCGAGGAAGGGTGCAAGCATCGGTCTGGAGGGGCCAGGTGGAATGAGGCCCCGGAATCGTAAACTGGATCGAATGGCGGAAAGGCATGCCTGGTGGTGTGGTTCAGGCAGGTGTGTGGCTATGCGATGAAGGACATAGAGAGCGGCGGGTGGGAAGTCTCTGCTCCGTATGTAACGGATGGCATCAAATCGTCGTAGAGTGTTGCTGCCAAGATCGCCCAAAAATCGCCACAAATCCAGGCGGTTGTCCACGCGTTTGGCCAGGAAGGCCTGTTGTAGGGCGATGGGTAGTCGTAGTCGGCGGCGTTTTCGCCAGATGGTGGCGAAGCCCATGTGCCGGGATTGGGAGAAGTCCAATTGGCGTATGAAGCCCGTGCGTGGCCGGAAATGTTTCTCGATGAAGCCAAAATTGAGAGACGGTTGCAGTTCCTGGATGTAGAACTGTTCAGTGGCAAATAGGTCCGTTGCCGGAACGACAGTGTGAATGGGCACCGAGGTGTAGTGGTGGAAAAAGTCAAAATGTGCCCACCACCGGACTGCCAGTTCGGCATTGACCAGATGATGTCGCTGAACTTGGAGTAGTTTGCGAAGTTGGCTGCGGCCCCGTGCCATGAGGGAGGCGCGAGTGGCTCCGAGGTAGAAAAAGGCCTGCCACTTTGGATGGCTGGTGAATCTCAGATAAACCGCTGAAGGGACAAGCTGAGAAGAGAAATCGGAAGCAGGGTTGTCCAGGCCAAGTCGAGTAAGCAGGGCTTTCAGTCTGCCGGAACCACAGGAGAGATGGCAGACGTCAAGTAGCTGAAGCTGTGCGAGTAGCCAGGAGCAAGAATGACGTGCGGTGACGTCATCGGTTGGGAAGAACCGAAGAGTGAAACGGAGGACAGTGAGAAGTTGGCAGCAGTGGTGTTGCCAAAATTTGTGCTGCCTGGCTGTGCGTCGTTGTCGGTGTGCTGTTGAGAGTCACTGGTAGAAGTGACTCGCAGCGGCCAGGATGCGGCCCAAGGCCGATGACCCCAGTTTTGATAGGGTTCGCACCGGGATGCCCCATAGCACAGCGGCTCGTTCGAGTTGGGCTCTGGTGTCGGAGTCCAGTGTGGTTGCCCATTTTGCGCAGTCGTTGGACCAGCTTTTTAGGACTTGCTTGCTCTCTTTGCTGGTTTTCTGAGAGGTGATCCATCGCTGGACTTTGGTGTCGGAAATGTCGGGTGGGAAGTTGCTGGTGAGCCATTGGCAAACGTGGGGAGGTGGTTGGAGCAAGTCGCGGGGCTCCTTCCAAGTGGGTGGGGAGGGGAGGGGGGGAGGGGTCGGGGTGCCGCCGTGGGTGGAGGGGGCTGGAGGGTTGCCGCCGTGGGTGGGGGGAGCCGGGGGGGGTTGGGAGTCGTCTGCAATGCGAGTGGGCAGGGGTAGAGCGGGGGATCCGTCCTGCGGTGATGTGTCAGGTGTAGTCAACCGTGGTCGCTTCATGCCGAAGTCCAGGAGGGAGGCCTGAGATGGATTGGCTGGGCGTTTGTTGGATGAGGTGGGTGTGGGGGGGAGAGGGGGGGATGAAGCCTGCTGGGCGAGTTGGTTGTGTGCGTCAGCAAGCTGTTGCTGAAGCTGGAGTATGGTGGCCGCGGAGGCCGGGTCGGCCGTAGTGGTGGGTCGGAGGGAGATGAGGAAGTCGAAGATCTTGCTGGTGAGTAGCTTCATGGCTGCTGGTTTGGTGGTCGAGGCGCCCTCCTGCGTGGCTACATGGAGGGCGAGGGCGTCCAGGTCGAGGTGCCGTTGTCGGATTTGGCTGAGTAGTCCAGCAGCAAACACTGATTCCGGCATCGACTTTGCGACAACGATGCGGACTTCGCCTCCGTGGGCGAGGTGACGCAACCACCAACTGTTCCACTGTTCGTGCATGAGGTGGAGGAGGGGGACGCGAGCGATGTCTTGTCCCTCGATGCCCATTTGCCGAGTAAACGCGGTGTGCGTTATGACCTTGGGCAGGTCGTACCCCGCGACGCGGGTGGTGTCGTAGTGATCGTCGCCAGGGTTGAACTCGGTTGGTGTTGGGACTGAGTGGATGGGTCGAAGGGCCGGGGGAGGTTTGGATTGCGAGGCGGTGGAGGGGGAGGGGGAAGGGGGAGGGCGGGAGAAGGGGCCGGGGGGAGGGGGGGGAAAGGGGTTGCCGCCGGGAGGGGGGGGGAGAGAGCCGCCAAAGGAGGGTGGACGAGGGCCGGGGTGTGGTGGGTAACGGGGAATAGGTTGGCCGTAGGTCTGACAGGGAGTCGGATGTGTAGCTGGCGGTGCCGATGCCGTGGAAGAGCATCCGTAGGAAGGCCCGGACAGGGCCCCGCACGGGTTCCCGGCCATGTTGTTGCCGTACACGATGCCATGATGATGGGATGCCGTGGGCGAAGGCTGCGGTGGTAAGTTTTGCCTTTGGAGCGCCGTAACCAAACCTCGAGGGGGTTGGAAAGCCATGAGAAAACACGGGGGAAAAGGAAATGTTCGAACCAAAAGCTGGTGAGCGGAATCAAGCGGGTAAGGTCACAAGGTGAGAGAACGGTCGCGGAAAGGCAGAACAGCAAAGCAAAGAAAAAAGGCGATCAAACAGTGCACCAATTCTTTTCCTGGTTGGGTGGAAGATGGTACACTTGCGCCCCGCTAAGCCGGGCGCTGCAGCGCGATGCCTCTCAGCATCGCAAACTTGGAGTGAAGGCACCACTTTTTGCCTCGGCGGCATGCGAAGTGGCGCCGCACGTTGTGTTGATCCTCGTGGCTTCCCCCGGATTCGAGGATTTTGTGCTGATTGATGGAGCGTAGTTCCCC